GTTTCCGTCACGGTTAAAACAATCCTAGAATGCACTGTGAAGATCTCTGTGAGAATATTAATAGATAGCAGATCTTCTGGAAAAAAAAAAAAATGTTTGATAATGCAAAACTTCCCGGCATGATGCTATGGGTTTTTTTATTGGTTGTTAGTGTGTGGCTATGTGATTGCTAGGATGTTCTGGGTGGTTTCTTATTGGCTAAAGTCAAAAGAGCCCACCCACATGTCTCTGTGATTTCTGGTCGCTATAGATATGTCTTGATTTGAGGTTCATTCTTGTCTAGATCACTGACACTAAATATGAGTAACACTAATAATGATTCTTGCCTTAGCAAACAGCACTAAATACACTGTTAAGCCACAGGCCAAGCTCTAATGCAGGCTTTAAGTTGGAATAAGGCAGAATGTTGAAATGTCTTTGATAAGCTCTCACTGTGCTCATGAGCCTAATTATGCAGATTGTCTTGATCCATAAATTTGACATTTCCAGAAGACTCTCATCTTCTTACATGTGTTTAAATAAACAGTGGAAATCGCTGCACGGCGGCGGTTACTGTTATTCATCTTCTTGATTCACCCTCCTCTTCAAAGCGCCGCGTTTGAAAGGCCTTTTCACTGTTTTAAGTAACAGCGGTTATCCCAGAATCCCTCTTCATCTGCAGATGAAAAGAGCAAAACGAAGGGCCACTCGCTTTTTACACTTTTAGCTCATTTTTACTCTGCTTTAAAGCGATAGTGCACTCAAAAATGAAAATTTGCTGTTAATTTACTCACCCTCGGGACATCCGAGATATAGGTGACTTTTTTCTTCAGTAGAAGAGTAAAGAAGATTTTTAGCTGAGACCGTGGTCCTTGGCGATTCATAACATGCAAGTCCATGGCTACCAGCATGTTGAGAATCAAAAAAGCATATAAGGTAACACAATATTAATTCCTGTGGCTCCTGGCGATATATTGAGGTCTTATGAAGCGAAATGATCGGTCTGTGCAAGAAACCGAACATTATTTACAACATTAGCACATGTAACCCAGAACCTCAGGCAAACGGTCTGAAGTGATGTCCGATTCACAAACGAATCATTCTTTTGAACTGATTCTTTTTAGTGAACTAGTTGAACCAGTTCACCAAATCGGACTGAGTCATCTGAAACAGTTCACGGCTCGAGCAGCACAGATCTACCAGTTACTCAATCAAAACTCACTTTCGGACGCCTGACAGTCATTCCGACTCTAAATGTCTGTATCCGCCGTATCTGATCCTATGATGAATGAACTGATTCAGCGCTCCAGTTCCTCCAACAATCACTGAACAGAGGAAATAGTTCGACTTGAGCCGAAGACCAATGAGCCGCTGATACAGTATGTGTATACGTGAACTGAGAGCTTGAATGAAGGGGCATAATGAACGTTTTTATGGTTTCTCATTGTTTATGTATGAAAAACATCCATGTTTCACATCATTATTGGGTGATTTAATAATGTAATTGTGTATACATTACGTCATTGCGTGATGACATGAACAAACTATTTAGAGAACCAGTTCATGGAAAATAATTGGACTTCCCCATTTGCTTGAGGCTCTGGATTACAGGTAATAATGTTGTAAATAATGTTCAGCTTCTTGCGCAGACCGATCATTTCACTTCATAAGACCTCAATATATATCGTCAGGAGCTACAGGTATTAATGTTGTGTTGCCTGTATAAGTTTTTTAGCCATTGATTTTCTGAATCCTGAAGGACCACGGTTTCAGCTAAAAATCTTCTACTCAAGAAACAAACTCACCTACATCTTGGATGGCCTGATGGTGAGTAGGCCTACAGTAAATTAAATTAACAGCAAATTTTCATTTTTGGGTGAACTACCGTATTGACCCGAATATAAGACGATGTTTTTTTCTTGGAAATACATCTGAAAAAACGCAGTCGTCTTATATTCAGGGTCTAGACTTTGACATGTCAGTAATACACCCACAACAATAGGTGGCGCCAAATACGCATAAAACGAGTGTGCCATGAAATACGTAATGTAATGCGTGTTGGAAAGATCGCCAGTAAAAACAAAAGAAAAAGAAAACCTTACAGCTGCATGAATCCTGACTGTCACGTTAGCATGATGGGACCAAACTCCCTTTGTGATTTTAAAACGTAAGACAGTACCCAGATTTGAAGACTACAGTAAGATTTAACTTCTACTGTTAATAAGATTTTGGCAGGCTACTATTAGATGGATAGCCTAAATGTCCTAATTCAGATGGGCTACCCGTTTTTTTTTTTTTAATGGTATATCAAAAAGTGTATATTTTTTAAATGTGATTGTTGGTACATTTTACCAGTTTTTACCATACTTTCAAAACAAAAATTAAAATAGGAAAAATATGCAATATGAAAATAATTGAAGACAAAATGTGTTTTACTGAGAAAAAACAAGATTTGGTTTTTAAAAAGCCTTTTTCCAAAAGGTACATCTGGAAAAAGGGGGGGTCGTCTTATAATCAGGGTCGTCTTATATTCGGGCCAATACGGTATTTATTTAAGCTTACTTGCAAGGTTTTTGACACACAGAGGATCTGTTATTAACCTTCGTGGTCCATGCTTGCCGAAATAACATGAACCAGAAACTTGAAGTTGAGCTCTTTAGACTGTGGTCAGTAACCTAGTAATACCCTAAACCATGCTAAAGGCACAGGCAAGCATGCATTTTCTTTAGAGTGTGTAAAAATCCGTTAATATTGTGTTGTAGGCCTCCACAGACAAGACTCTTTTTAGCTGCATTGATTTTAAAAGGCTTAGAGATTTATTTTTTAACTGCTTCATTGAGCATCTCAGCTGTGGCATGTTCCTGTTCTCCTCTATTTTTCCTTTGTTCTCGCTTCTTTAATTAGGCTGCTAGTTTGGATGTTTATCGTCACTGAAACCTTCTCCATGGATAAGGATTGTCTTTAGGATTAGCTGAAGGATGTAGGGTGAGTTTTGTATTAATGTCTGTATCAGATCGCTGTGCTCGATTTAACTGGGATTAATTGAGCAGCAGTATCACACACTCAGCATCTGTGTACAGTAGAGACTTCTTGCGTCATCTATATGGAAAACTTCCCACGGAAAGGCTGACGCTGTCTTTAAAGCAGAAGTTTGGTTTTGCTTTTAAATTCCTAACCATAACCTTTAACTGTGAGAGAATCCTGTTTTTGAAGTCACTTTTATTTTTTTACTGTAATATTGTGAAATATTATTGCAATTTATAATAACTATTTTCTATGTGAATATCTTGTAAAATGTAATTCATTTCTGTGATCAAAGCTGAATTCCCAGCATCATTACTCCAGTCTTCAGTGTCACATGATTCTTCAGAAATCATTCTAATATGCTGATTTGCTGCTCAAGAAACATGTATTATTAGTAGTAGCAGTAGTAGTGTCATTATCAATGTTGAAAACAGTTGTGCTGGTAAATCAATGACTGAGGTAAAAATTACATTGCATTTTTTTAAGAATCTGATTTTATAAAATAACTAAGAAAAATTAAAATATTCACAAATAATAAATATACGGAAAAAAATTAAATAATTAACTGCACAGATATTTTTCAAATTAAATAAATATTACCAGTTTAACAGGCTATTTAAATAAAGTGAATGATCTGCAAATCCCATGAGGCACTGCAAATAATGTAATCACTTATTTAAAAATTGACAAATTTTGTGTTTAAATATTAAACTGTTACAAATTCTATAACTTTATAATATTTTATGGTTTTCATGATTTTTTTAACAATATTTTAATATTAAATATCAATCTTTCCTGATCTCTTACCTTGTGATTTCTATTCCAATGGTAACAAATCACTCTTCAGGATCATGGGTAATGTAGTTCTTCATTAGGAATTTGTCAATTAAACACTTTAAATACTGAAAAAATTAAATAATTTAACTGCACAGATATTTTTCAAATTAAATAAATATTACCAGTTTAATAAGCTATTTAAATAAAGTGAATGAACTGCAAATCCCATGAGGCACTGCAAATAATGTAATCACTTATTTAAAAAATGACTAATTTTGTGTTTAAATATTAAACTGTTACAAATTCTGTAACTTTATAATATTTTATGGTTTTCATGATTTTTTAACAAATATTTTAATATTAAATATCAATCTTTCCTGATCTCTTACCTTGTGATTTCTATTCCAATGGTAACATATCACTCTTCAGGATCATGGGTAATGTAGTTCTTCATTAGGAATTTGTCAATTAAACACTTTAAAACAGCGTATTTTACAGGAGTATTTTCCCCATTCATTTTCTCAATAAGGATTTAAAAAAATTATTCAGTAAAATTAAATAAATATTACCAGTTTAACAGGCTATTTAAATAAAGTGAATGATCTGCAAATCCCATGAGGCACTGCAAATAATGTAATCACTTATTTAAAAATTGACAAATTTTGTGTTTAAATATTAAACTGTTACAAATTCTATAACTTTATAATATTTTATGGTTTTCATGATTTTTTTAACAAATATTTTAATATTAAATATCAATCTTTCCTGATCTCTTACCTTGTGATTTCTATTCCAATGGTAACAAATCACTCTTCAGGATCATGGGTAATGTAGTTCTTCATTAGGAATTTGTCAATTAAACACTTTAAAACAGCGTATTTTACAGGAGTATTTTCCCCATTCATTTTCTCAATAAGGATTTAAAAAAATTATTCAGTAAAGAGTTTAAAGCCATGAATCAAACTAGATACTGATTTTGAAGTAGGCCTATAAAATATATTTTGCAAATATCAAAAATATATTTATATTTTAAACGATTAATCATGAATAATGTTAGTACTTTGGAAATTAAACACAGAAGCATATATCATCACTTAACACCCTTACAGCTCATCTTGGATCAGTCTTGAAAGGTTTATATTTTATTGTCATGAATAAATTTCTTTATGGAAAAAAACTTTACTTTACAAACCTGAATGTTGCGCTTTCATACTCTACAGTGTTATCAACACCTCAACAAAAAAACGGACTGATTCTCCCTGTGAAGTCGGCAATAACCATCCAGAAATCTCCTTCAGCTGAAAGTAGAACGCCCGGATCTGATAGAGCTTAATATAACCGGAGACCAAACACGAGGTCAGTCTCTCCTGATGTTATTTCATCAGTCACGTCGTTCGCTGCTGAATTACAGGGTGTTTTGGGGCAGGAAGAGAGAACGCAGAATACTTTCTTACATCTATCTGTACTGTGAACTGTAAAATAAATATCTAGAGAGCAGAATATCAGAGAGATCAGCTGGTGGGCTCTTTTGCCTCGAGGCCAGTAAGAAACCATCTAGCAATGCTGTAGCTGTACACAACTATACTGTATCTCCACAGAGTGACATACAGACACACAGATGGATAAATAAATAAATAGAAGGACATATAGAAGGAGGTTCAAACATCACACAAAGACCTGAGAGTTACAAGACTCTTAACCCTGGTTACTCTTCGGATGTAAAAGAGGGTAGATATGTAAGGTATGATTATAAAAACATTCTTTTTCCAAAAATAGTCAACATGGTAAAGTGTTCATTTGACTTAATTCATCAGATCAGAAAATTACTGGATCACTGCACTCATGACAGTTCATCTTCAATACTCGTCTTCTGTAGTCTGTGCTCTACTGTACATTACATCACAGATCCGACTGCTTTCTTTATAACACCAGTCATGCGTTCAGCAGATTCAAGTGTTCGTTTTTTCTCCTCTCTGGAATGTTTGAAGCGGGTTGCTATGGATACAAACCTGAAGTGGTTACACTTTCAAGCAGCTGCCCAGTATATCACTATCGCAGTAAGTTTTTCACATGGATTTAACTGCATTTTTACATTTGATGATGAACATTTGTGGTTTTGATTGTAGTTAGTCAGATGCTACATTGGTCTTCCCAAATGCAGTTGCCTAGCAATTTTATTCACCCAAATGCAATTTTTTTTTTACCTTTAATCCCATTGCAAGAGAAACAGTCTTGATGTCAGTATTTGTGCAAAACTGCTTAACAGGCATTTTCCCAGAATGCTTTTGTATTGGTTTTGTGTTTTCTCAGCTTAACTTTGGCAAGAGCTGAGGTACTGTAATCACATTAGACATTCACAAAGCATTTATCCTCTATAATGTGGTTTATTTCAGCGTCAAACAGAATATTTAACTGGAAATAACTGATTGGATCCAACACGGAATTGGATTCCTTAGACTTGGGCCAGTTTACGTCTAAATAACACAAAGTATCAAAGTTGAGTGTGTGCGTTGTCCTGTAGCAAATCAGCCATATCTACTAACTAGAAGATCACAGAGAAACATTGTAGTAACTACCTAGAACACCCTAGCAACTTTATATTGACCCCCTAGCCACAAATCAACATATCCTAGCAACTGCACTGACTGTATCCCAAACAACAACAAAATAAGCTAACATGTGATTGCATTCGTTCTCTCTTCATTCCACATTCCTTTACTTATGGAGCTGGTGAATTTCTCTTTTTTTCTTGATATTGTTCTCTGTTCATTTCTCCTCTCTCTACTCTTGTAGCTGGTAAATTTCTCTTATTTTCTCTTTTCTGTTCTTTGTTTCCTCTGGCTTTGCATCAATCCATCTATTTCTGTCTTGAATGTATTTTTATCCTGTTTAAACACGTCCACCACTCATGCTGCTCTCTCTCTCTCATCCTTCTTTGTCCACAACTGCAGTCTTTCTTGTCTGGTTTTGTTCATTCAGTCATTGGTCCTCTTGACTTTATTGATCTTCCTGGTGGAGATTCATTGGTCTGTTACTCTTCTCTTCTGGTCTGTTCTTATGTCAGCCAATCAGATTTCAGTTAAGATTAAATAAATAAAAAAATAGCCACCAGTTGGCTAATAGTGTTTTTGATGTATAAAAATGGTTATATATTTGTTTAACTCACAAAATAGTAATATTAATTCAATGGACTATAACTTTGCCCCATTTGTTTCAGTCAAACTGTTATGTTGCCATATTGAATTTTGTATTAATTTTACTTTTATGAACTAGTCCTTAGATCTTTTTTTTTTTTTGTCCAGTGAAAACCAGTGTCGGAAGATTCTTTTTTGTGTTTTGTTTTGTTTTGTCAAAACCATTCAGCATAAACAAAATCAACATGGCTGCTTCAAGTTAATGAATGGTTATGACCATAGCAATTTTGCTTAAAGTTTCATAACTCTTGAATGCAGTGATCAAATTTGGCAAAAATTGGTGCATCTATGCATTGTATGGATATGAGGAAGCATTCCAAATTTGATGATGTTCGGACAAAAGGTGGTGCTATAACAGAGCGTGGACCTGAAATACTGATAAAAATACAGTTTTTGTTTTATGCTCTAGTGATAAGCTTAAAACTGGTTCTTGGTTCTTGTAGAACCACTTCTGTAAATATATGTGTACGCTTTACATCTTGGTTTTGGATTTTCTGATTTCCTGTATTTGTCTATCTGTGTTCTTGTATGCAAATTAGTGCACTAAACTCAAGTATCCATAGTAAGCAGTCTTTTTTGCAGGCTTCAGCGCTGGCGTTCAGCAGTCTCTTATCTGCCACTTTACATGTGAAGTGAGCTGCTCTCTGCTACTCTGTGCTGCAGTGGATATCAAATGAATGATCGGAGGATACGAGCATGTTCATTTTCATACGCCTCAGCAGATTTTACATTCATATTCTCTGCGCTCAATAGACCACATTATCTCTCCAAAACTTCTCTTGAGTTTCAATGGCTTTTCACATCATTTTTGACCTCTAGTATGTAAATGCTAGAGATTGTGCTGATAAAACATGTTGCTGCAATCTTGGGAGAGATTTTGGAGGTTTCACTGTATGAGTTTGAGCATTAATGGGTTGTATTCAACACTTTTCCATTTTATGTTTTGGCCCTTTTTGACATTTTTTAAGTATTCTTTCTTACCATTTCTTATAAGTTTAGTTATTTATGGCTACTGTATTTTCCACCTGTTTTGACATTTAGAATTTAGAATTTGCTGAAACCTTTTTTCAGGCTTCTATGTGAAAAAAATTTATTTTGGTAATTTTGCAGATTACATGATGATAACATACAGCGTAGTATTAAACATGTCACCATTTTTAAGTAAATATCAAGTAAATATATTTCTAAAGGTGCTGTTGACATGACATTTTCACCAGATGTAGGTAACAACCCAAGTAATCCATACATACAAAGAAAACAAAACAAATAAGTTCAGAAATTAAGTTATGTGCAATAAAATGGAATGACCCAGGGAAAAATTATTGACCACGCTTACTGAAATTTATTTAATACTTCGTACAAAAGCCTTTGTTGGTAATGACAGCTTTACGCCTCCTGTATGGAGTAACTAATGGCATGCATTGCTCAGGTGTGATTTTGGCCCATTCTTCCACACAGACAGTCTTCAAATCTTGAAGTTTCCGTGGGCCTCTTCTATGAACTCTAATCTTTAGTTCT